AAACTAATTAAGTTAGTTATTTGTAATAAATTTGTGTTGTCTTTCTTAAAATATCATTACTAATCAAGTGTATTAACTAGAACTATTATTATTACAATAATTCTCTTAGAAAAATAGATAAATGTGAGAAACAAAGTGGATTAGAATCTTATATTTAGAATCAAAATAAAAACCAAACGAGCTCTTATATTAAAGACAGGAAGTAGTGTGAATTATGTATCCAAAATATTTTAAAATTTAAATTTTTGTATAATTATTTTAGAATTTTGGATTTGGAAAAGCAACACTATTATTTAAATGGGAGATTAAATAAAATTAAAAAAAAAGAAGGAAGGGATAGAGAGAGGGCGAGAGGAGAGCGTGTGAGGGCATACGAAAATAAAATAAAGGGATAAAATTTAAAGTGGGTGGAAGAAGTTTTACAGGAGAGAAAGAGAAAATTAAATCAAAAAGAGAGAGGGAGAGTTGAGAGAAAGAGGAGAGAGAGCGCGTGCAGAAGGAAAATATATATATAAAGACTGCAACAAGCATGGGTCCCATCATATGATTTGAAGGATTTCTATTAGTCAGAGCACAAGTCACGTGGCATTTGACATTTTCGGTGCATGTGAGTTCCTCAGAGAGCCTAATGGAGCTCGCAGGCGAAGCACATACCTAGAGAGCAAACTAGGCTCGCCGTTGCGTCGGCTAAACAAGGTCTTGCAGTTGCAGCTTTTATGGATTACTGTCCTGATAGCTTACGGTATATGATGGATGCTGAGAACATGGGGGCTAGTCTCCTCGAGTTATTTTTGAGTTTTCTTTAGGGCTTTAGCCTTCTCTTGTATCCCAGAAAAAAAAAAAACACATATAATCACCAATAGCCTATAAGAATTATTTGAAAGTCAAATGAAAGTATCTGATATAAAATTAATTGAGATATTATATTTAAAACTAAATTAATTTTTTAATTATGTCTTATATTAATGACCAGACTTGATATTTATCTCTACAAGCTATTTTTTTACAATAGATTTTTGTATTTTCAAAAATTCTACATAATTAAGGATATAAATGGACTTGCAAGTATCATTTTCAGTATTATGTCTCTATGTATTGACTGGAGGACTTTTCCACTTTGCTCTTTGTGATTGTAGATTTTTTTTCTTTTTCTTTTTTGTCAGTTAAACATCATTTCAAAGTTGTTGCATGTCACTTTTTCTCTTCTTTATTTTCCACATTTTTCACAAAATACTCCTTTCTTTGATGTGCACTTTCAATTTAATTAGAAAATCTATTTTTTTACCTGAAAAATTCAGCATAATTAACGTCTTCTTAGGCATAATTAACGAAGAGAGAGGATTGAAACGGTTCAGACCTTCAAAATTTCCATGTGCAACTGGATCGCTCATCATCGAACGGTTAAGATCATTCCTAAATTCAATGAAATGGTGCGTAGTGGTGATTAGCTCCTTGCCTCTACGCAGTAATGAAACTCGTTCCCCATATCTCGTCGACGTTTATTGTGTCACAATCATAGTTAACGTTATTTCTACTTCTTGAGGACTTTTCCACATTGCTCTTAAATTTGTAATGAGCTCCTTGTTGCTGCGCATTGAAATTCGTTTCCTGTATCTCATAGACATTTTTTGTGTCACAATCATATTTAATGTTATTTCTACTTCCTGAGGACTTTTCCATATTGCTCTTAAATCTGTGACAATTTTTCTACGTAAACATCACTTCAAGATGGCCACATGTCAGTTTTCCCCTCTTCAGTTTCTTTTCATAAATTTTTTTGTTCATTAAAAACTCTTTTTCTTTGATATCTGCCTCGAAAATAACTTCGCTGCTTATCGATCTGAATAAAAATCTGAATAATCACTAAACGGTTTCTCAAAAGATAAATATATATGTATGTCTCGTGTAGACTTTACTTCTTACCATCTAAATATTTTACCATATTGACAATAGATGTTGCTTCCCCAGTCAATCAGCATAATTAATTAATTAATTAATTATGGTCCTATGAATAAGCGGACTGGAAGGATCATCTTCACTACTATATATCTTTCTTGAGGGATTTTCGACTCTGCTATTTAATTTGTGACTATATATAAATACACACATATATTCTGACAAAGATCACTTCAATCTAAAGTGGGTGTACGTATTTCAGTGTTTCTTTTTTTTATTTTGTCAATAGATTTTTGTTCACCTAAAACTCTTCAAATCAAAATGACAACGAATATGGTTTTTTATCTAAAAAAATTCTGCCTAATCAACGCCGATTGTTGGGGGCGGGGGGGGGAAGAGGTCCATGTCTTGTAGAATTCTCTCCCAAGTCCCGCCCATTTAAATGTGACCAAAGTTGAATTGAGCAAAGATCTCCTCAGTAGCTTTGTCTCTCTCTCTCTCTTCTTCTTCTTTTTTTTTAAAAAAATACATATTTGTGTACTAAATCCAATATATATTATGTTGATTGACTACTTATTTCTACTAAATTGACAATAGAATAGATTTTGTTACCCAAAAATTCGGCATAACTATTGATGTTCCAATGAATAAATGGGTTGTAAGGATCATATTTAATATTATGTATACAATAGCACTCCTTCCTCGATGCCCACTTTCAATTTGCTTTCACCAGACTGCAACGACGTTACAGATGATGCAAGATTGCTTCTGAAGAGGGATTGGCAGGTCTTGCCTCTTTTTGTTTATAGGGAAGATCTCTCCAGTGCTAACCTCCTAGCTAAGACATCTCATAATTTGGATATTCTGTTTTGTGTTTTTGTTCACCCTCCATCTTTTCTACATAAAAAAGAACAGGAATGAGAGCTTATTTGTTTTGAGTTGCTTTAATGGTTTGTAATAATCAAGGAACAAAAAACCGGATCAGGCATTAAACTGGTCGAGATAGTGGGTCAAGAGTTACTGGTCAAACCGGTCATGTTAAAATAATATAACTTAATTCATAATATTAAAATAAAACAAAATTCATAAATAATAACTACTAAAAAAATGAGAAGCTACAAAAGTAGTTTAAATATTTAATAGTACCAAGCAAACATTAATGAAATGTATATCTTTACTATGGAAAATAAATATCATCACTAAGATCATTAGCATGGGCTGAGATGTTGATAACTCATTATTTTGAATATATTTAAAGAATATTTTGAGTGATTTTTTGGAGAGTTGTTAATGCATTTTAGAAGATTTCTAAGAGCTAATTGGAAGATTTAATTGTGAGCATTATTTGGGAGATTTTTTTTGTAAATAGCTTGGTTTTAAATAAATAAAAGTAGTTATAGATAATTTTACAATTATTGTTATCTTAAGTCAGTTTTAAATTTTATTTTATTTCCTTTTTATTTTTTATTTTTTATTTTAGTTTTTCTTCTCCATTTATTTTATTTTTGTTTTCCCTCCATTTCATTGTGAGGACGACAACGTTTTGGAGACCTGAATGCGCCGACTGGAGGGAGACCTAGAATGACTATTAATCATAATTTGAGAGGCGCCGAAAAAGGAGAAGGGAGGAGGCACCGAACAGGGGATCACGGTTCATCATTGTCTTGGAGCAGAGGCCGCCAAATTGGTGAAGGGGGTTCTGGTGCATCTTCTTTGCTGGAGACAGGGAGGAGGCGCTGAACTTGTGGGTATCATCTGGCTCTCCCTTTGGTTCGATTGTTTCCGGGGGTGAGAGAGACATAGCTGCAGAGAGCAGTTCTGAGGAGGAATGGTTTGAGACAGGAAATTAAGAAAAGAAGAAGGAATTTTTTCAAAAAATTAAAACGACGCCGTTTCGCATGTTTGGCAGATTAAAAAAGAAGGAACCGAGTAACCTAATGAACCGGGATTACCCGGTTCTATACCGGTTATGATTGGTTCAATATGCCCCCAGTTCAACTCTTGAACCAGAGCAGACTGCAGACCGGTTCACCAGTTTTCCAGTCAAATTGACTGGTCCGGTCCGTGTTTTTTTTTCCTTGGTAATGATCACACTTTTCAATCAACATAACTTATAAATAAAAATCAATGATGAGCCAAGCTATATCTCAATCCTTAATAGCTCCTAACTGAGATCACTGTGCTATAAACAGTGATAGCTAAATGAACAATGATGGCTAATTCTGTTGGGCTGCATGTAAAAGTAAGTTTCAAATTTTGAAATTCCCTCCACCTCCATTTTTCCATCTTTCTTTCATTTTGAAGTCTCCAGCTTCTTCCTGCCTCGTAATTTTTGTCTTTAGATGTGTTTCGGATTCTCTCTCCTATTTCTCTGTTTTCTTTTCCCTTTTCCTCAATTTCCCGGAGGAATCACTGTTCTTTCTCACTCTGCCCCTTCCGCATCAGGCATGCATCTCCTCTCCCTCAATTTCTTTTCATCTTCTTTTTCTCTCTTGCTACGGCTTCATCGTCTCCCCTGCTCTTCATCTATTTTTCGTTACCTCCCAACTGTTTTTTTTTTTTGGGTGAAATTCCTTGCCTTCCAACTTTGTTCTTGAGAAACCTAGCAAATCTCACATGGAGGTGATGTCTTTTGGCCTGTGGTAAGTTGTTTTCCGTTTTTCCTTCCTTTTCATTTGCTTGGTGATTCGAGAGTTTGATCTGGAGGCCTCTATCTACTTTGTAGCTGTATTCTCATGTGCATGTACTCTTCATGAGTTGCTTCAAACATCTTATTTCGGTATTTATTTTCGTTTCCCCCAATTTTGACGTTTACTATCTCTTCCCCTCTTTTTATTCAAAGTGGTTTGCTATCATGCAGAACTTGAGGTGTCCTACTCACTAAATTCATTCAAAGATGGATTTTCTATTGCAAAATGTAACAAGGTCAGTATCACAAGATTCAAGAGTTTCGCATGTTATGCATTTATATTGCTTCTTGCTACTATTGGAATTTAATTTAATTCTCATTGCTGATGCTGGTTGTTGATTTTTGCCCCCGTAGTTCACCAGTCATCACGGAAAGAAAAAAAAGGTTTGCTTGCAGATGCGCACCAAATGCTTGAGAAAATGACCAGGATATTCAAGAGTAGTAGACCAGAGGACACATGAAGTGACGAACTTTGCTGACATATAAATTACATTTGAGGTATGGTTCCTGCATCAGGCCTTTCGGTGTTTTGTCAGAATTTGTTGAGGTATTCTAAACATTAAGAGCAAACTCACCCATTGACTGTTATCCATACCTTGCTCTTTTTGTTATTAGAACAAGCTTTCTTCTCTTTTTCTCGTTATTACATGTCTTACTCTATTATTTCCGTAGAATGGAAACTTATTTGCAGTTTATATGATTGGAATTTACGTCCTAGCCCTCATATAGTTTATCTGAAATCTGTCTTTATATTCTTATTTTGTTATTTTACTTTATGGATTAAGTTATATGTTCTATGGCAGGTCAATTTCTGCCACATTTGAAGAATTTTGCAACTAAGCACCAATTATCCAAAACGAGGTATACTTTAGTTTTCAGTTGGTCATCCTGACTAACAATCAGGATATCGTGATATTTTGACATAATCACTAACATGGTATGCTTTTCATCTTGATTGCTGATCACTTCATTCTCAAGATATATAGCAGATAATGCAATAGTATTAATAGAAATCACATTACTTGCTGCCAAATAGTGGGATTAAAATGCATTACTCTTAGTCTGCACTCTGAGTTACTAGTGTAGAGATATCTTATTTTCATACTTACAACATTAACCGCGTCTTAAATTAAGCATATACTTTATCTGCTACTCCTCCGATCCTTAATATAAGACCCATTTAACTAATTTGATTAGATTAAGAAAATTAGGTAAGTTAGTTAATTATAAGAAAAGTGACACATTTTTCCTAAAATACCACAATTATCTTTTTTAATACCCCCTCTCCTTCTTCTACTTGATTATGGTTGAGGAAGTATCCATAGGGGTAATTTAGAGAAAATTAATAAATATGAGAAATGAGTCTTATATTTAGGACCAAAACCAACTAAAGAATTGGGTCTTATATTAAGGATCAGAGGAGTATTGTACATGTGATTGTCAAGGATACCATTTGAAAGGATACTGCCGGAAGTTAACCATCTTGTGTTCTGTAAAGTTGCTTATCAGTATTTTAAATTGCAGTAGAAGGTGCAAAAAGAAGCTTGAAGGGTGAGACAAAGTTAACGTAATTTACTCTATATTTTTTATGGTAAATCTATTGAGTTTCTTATTTATCTGACATATAATTCTGTTATTGTTCAGATCTTTATTTTATGAACTTACAAAGTAAGATGGTTGGTAGAAGTTTCTTGAAAGGGGGTCAACTTTGGGAATACAAAAGTTCTGATATTTTCAAGGGCAGAAAATCAGTAGGACTTATCTTGCATAATTTGCTTAGCAATGAAAATCTTGTGATGTGTTGGAGGTTTAGAAAAGTTGTGAATCATCACAAGGATTCGATACATATTAACACTTATTCTTTCTTTTATTGAGTTATTTTAGGTAGTAAAAATGATTTGATATTGTTTTGTGCAACTGTATAAAAACAGGTCACGTGTTAAAGATGTTATATTCTCATTTATTTTATTTTATCTTTTTTTTTGCCATCCATTTATTTTATTTTATCAGCTATTGTTTGTCCAGGAAAAATGTGATTTTCCACTATTGACTTGGATTAGTATTATAATAAATGCAAAATATTGGACCTTAATGATTGAAAAATTATTGGCGTTAACTTGAGCAATGTAGGACCTCATGAAGATGAAGAATACAGAGGTGGCATTGCTCAGCATTTCACATTAGCTTCATTTTTTTTTTTTTTATAATGACAGAACGGTTATAAGGGATGTTGTGTCAACAATCTAAAATTCTAAATGAATATTGTAGTTTGATTAGTCTTGTAGCTCACCTGTTAATGTAGTTACTCATTTGCATTGCGGGTTGAGCCCAGTGCATTTTAGAATCTGTTTTTTTCATGGGTCTATAATATAACCCATTGATTATTATGGATAAAATAATCTCTCATTGAATTATTTTATTAAACAATTTGAGATATTTTTACATTTTTCAATTGATTTTTACATTTTAAAGCATTTTTTGAATTTTTAACCTAAGATATAATTATCAACGTTGTTTATTGGCAATTGTCTTAGAATGTTAGCACTTCATATTAAGTTGCATTTTTTATTTGTTTCATGTAATAAAGGCTTGTCATGTTTTTGTTTGAAGCTGTTCGTTTTGCAAGGCAAGGGATTGTGTTTTGTGCACCTTGTTTAGATTAACTAATTTATTTTTGAAATGACGTGATACATGATGAATAAGTTGTAGTGAATGCACGGGGAGTAAATTCTAGTTATATATATATATATATATATATATATATATATATGTAACAGGAGTACAATGGTAGCGTGCTGGTAAAATGGGAAAAACAGGCTGAATTCATTTAAGCCTAAAAATTATGAGGATTAGGCTTGAAATTTTTTCTTTCAAATGAGAAACTGACCTAAAAGGATTAGTTTTGTAGGATTGAGGGTTTAAACGAGCTGGCCTTGCATGACCAAGGACTGACTCGTTTAGACCCTTTTATTTTATTTTATTTTTAAAAATTTTTTATATAATTATTATATTATTAATTTTTTAACATGTTAATAATATTTCAAATATTTAGTTATTATTATCATTTTGAAATTAAATTTCATATAATAATTTGATTTATATTATATGTGTTAATATTTTAAAACTATATACATTTGATAAGAGAGTAATTTTATACTTGTATAACTTGTGATTTTATATTTTCAATTAGAAATTTATAAGTTTTAATAACAATACTTCTTAAACTAAAGTAAAATAATAGTTAGATTACAAAATTTAAAAGTAAAATTTTATAAAGAAAAAAATTGATATTTTTGCTACGAAAAAAGAGTAATTGATTATAGTAATGATGAAGTTTCAAAAAATTAATAATAGTGTTTGTCTATTGCATATTTGCACTATTGATAATATAAATGTAAATTCCCAATTAAAGTATTGAAATTTTTAAGCGAAGAATTTACAGAAAATATCTTGTGCCTTTTTTTTTAATGTTAAAAATATATATCTTGTCATAAGACCTCTTTTTTTACATGCCCAACATTTTCAGACCCTCCCTAATAAGGCTAGGTCAGTTTTTCAAAAAAGCGACAAAGAAAAGAAGATATTTAAAGAATGAGCAATAAAATATAACCAAAAAAATTATTTTATATATTAATATTTATATACATGGGTTTGGTCTCCAGCCACCAAAGGTATCAAATATGACTAAAACACGCTGCTTCAAAGAAAATTAAACATTGTTCGTTTCTATTATAATTATCATCAAGAAATTTCTTTACAAACTTAATCACATCCTCCTCATAAAAATGCATTAAACAAAGCTTGGCTGATGTGTGGGCTCACTGTGACGAGAATATATCTCTTAGTTCAAAAAATATTAAAAAATATATTTAATGATTATCAACAATGGAATTCAAACCTCGTACTTCTATAATGTATGAGCCATATACGTATAAAGTAAACCAACCTGAAGTAAAATGATTTTATCAAAATAACACACACGCACCCACACAAAGGCTGTTCCTTATGAAATGGAGTGTGACTTTAGGATCAACTTACAAGTCAAGCACTCCATGTCTATAAATATTGGGTGGTTAATATATAATACCTCCACTTATTGTGGCATATATATGTGTGTATGTTTGTGAAGAGTAGGGACAATATGTCCGCATACACCCGCCACTTTCCAGTAGTAACCTTCTTTTATTGTGAAATATGTAAAATATCAGATCGGTCCTTAGTCTTTGAAACCTTAAATAAATAATTTGGACATAAATTGATGAAGAAACATGAAAGTGCAATATTTAAAACAAGAACCTGGAACGAGAAACAAGTCACATAAAAGTTGAAGCAATTCCACCAATGATATTTTATTTATTGTCGTTTAATTTATAATTAAATGTTGACTTATGGGTGCTTTTCTAAGATTATTAATTTTATATAATTTAACTATATAAAATAAAGTATATTCTCGCTATCTATCATGATCAAGTATAATTTATGCTCAACTCTTTGTTTGGTTGTTAATCGAAATATATTCTAATTTAGTGTTTTGTCAATGTTTTTGTTTGACTAATCTCAAAAAGGTTACGCTATTATTTATTGATCCATTTTGAAAATATTACCTTTTCAAAGAGAGAAAAATTACTGAATTGTGATTCCTGATTGTAGATCCATTTTGGAAGAATGGGGGGGGGTCTGATATCTAAGTCTTTGTTTGATGATAAACAAAATAAATAGTTTATTAAGATAATTAATGGAATATTATTTTCGACTGAATTAATGCAATCATTTTATAGGTGAATATGTATGATATGGTAGTTAATGAAAATTGTTTTCCAAAAAAAATCTATTTTAAAGCACAGATTAGTTAGTAAAAAAAAAAAACATAGATGAGACAACAGAGAGAAAAAAAGAAGAGTACGGCCTTTAAAAAATGAATAATAAAAGCTGACAAAGAAAAACATTTATTCAAATTTATAAACAAGGTATCAAAGATGACAAAATAAAAGCTACTTGGAAGATGAATTTAATTTTAAATATGAGAACTCAATCCATTTTATCTTTTATCTTTCTCCAAAATGTCCTTATTCATAGCAAAGAATTCTTACCAAGTGATAATTATAATCATTTACTGCATATGATTGAAAAAAATAATTTACATAGATCAATGCATATTTGTGATAAATAACTAACTTAACTAATTTTTTTAATATTTTCACGTTAGTTATATAGTTTTTATATTAAAAGCATTTTGCACTATGATTTCATTATTTCGTCCAAAGATTAAATATTTGGCATCCAACCCGTGCATCAGCTTTTAACATTGATGGGAGATGCATGTGGGTGAAGGGAGGTGGCAAAGGATGCTGGGGAAAGAAGAGAGAGAGAGAAAGAAGGATAAGAAACTATTTTCATATTCATAAAAGAAAAATTTCCAGATGTGGCTTTAATTTTTGTTCACGAGATTTGTAGAAGTCTGCTTGGTTGTCCATCATCTCAGCGTTGGCTAACAAATCTGTTAACAACCGTTTAACTATCAATTATATTTTAAACATTAGGACCTAATAGTGTTACCAAAGTAAATTGGAAGGATTTGATAAAAAGAAACAAAAAGAAAGGACTTGATTGGGAACAAAAAAATATATAAGCATTGAGAAATTAACTTTCTCTAGTATTTTCTTTAGTCTTCTAACCCTCACATTATTATTATTTTTGGTCATCTACTTTCATAAATTTTGTTATTTAATTTTTTAAAATATCTTTTTAGTCCTCTAATTTTTTAAAATATCTTTTAGTTATTTAATTACTCCTAACACATTAATTGCAAATAATTATTTTTTATTAGTTATTGTTATGTAAAAAATTAAATTATGTTTCGTTAACATTTGAAAAATAGGTTGAAAGTATAATGTTTCGTTAACATTTGAAAAATAGGTTGAAAGGATAATTTATAAAATTAAATGATTAAAATAAAAATTTTCGTAAAGTTAAAAAATAAAAAATAAAATAAAAATCACGTCAAATTTATTAGATTCATTAAATCTAGTGCTATGTGCACCACCAATACAAGCGGCAGAATTTTATTGGCTACTCAGATTTGATTAACTTTACCCAAGTTGTCTTTAAAATTTTTGTTAAACAGAGAGGTTAAAAAATAAAAAAGAAAAAGGAACAGATGAGGATAATGATATAATATATATATATATATATATATAAATATAACCGAAAAGATAAAGTTAATTAGAAATTGAGAACAAAGCGTCGTCGTCACCAATTACCGCAAAGTCACTATCAAAGCATATCAAAACATTATTTAAATGATGGTTATAAAATTATTTTTATTTAGATTTCATATTTATCAAAAGTAAAAAATTTTCAAATAATGTAAAAAAAAAAAAACGTGAAATATGAAAATGATCCCACATTCATGATAACCAGCATATGCGCATTAATCATGAATCATACCGGTAATGGCTTTGTCATCTTTGTTACCTTTACTTTTCTAATGGCTTTATCTTCTTTGTCTAGTTGGTTAAAATATAAAAATGGCAAATAAGTATTAAAAAAATACAATCATTACTTTGTAAATTTAAATTAAAATAATATAAAGCTACATATGTAACATCCTAGATATATTAAAAATTGAACTAGTTGCCATGTTGATATTAGTCAACACACTGGTTCAATAATCAAAGTTCATCTAATCATGGTTAAACTAAATTTAGGTGAATTAATATTACCTTTGGTGTTTAATATATGAGCA